TTAGGGCTGTTGTGCATAGGGTCGCTATGAGTCGGAAACGACTCGACGGCACATAACAACAACAACAACAACATTTCTTTCTTAACAATATTCATTTTTACTACATTTATGCTTCTCACATTTCATGTTCCAATCACTACTGTCTGCTTACAACTGTTCCTCCTCCTTTGTGTTTCCATACTTGAGAGATCAGCCTCAGTTGCCGTATCAACTAATCTAAATTTGCTCTATTGTATTTAGAGTTTTCAAAGGCATATTATTTCAGAAGTGGATAAGGAATCCTTTTTCCTAGTCTGTCTTAATTAGAATTCTCAGATTTAAATAGCCACTTAAAATTATCTTTTCTGTGTCTGTGGGATTTATTTTTTAATCTTTGGCTTCATACTTAGAAAAATCCCTCTCATAGCAAGATCATATCTTTAATCTACTACTTCTTCTAATCCCACTTTAATTTATTTGGTACTGAATGAGGAGACCACACAAAGTTACAACTTTTTGAGTAACTATCCAAATGTCAAAACAAATGTAATACATCCTTTCACCAATCTGAAATGTCATGTTCCATGTGTGAGACGGTACCACATCATATCTCCTTTAGTTTTTCTCTAACACATTTTCAGTAATGAGGAGAAATGAATATGTCCTCAGTATAGAAAAGCTGGATGAGTAGAGGTGAATGCTGGGTGAAGGCAGCAGCAACCAGTGTTCAATGTGAGACAGATTTGAGACTGAGAAAGATGGGACAAATAATGTACAACGCATTGACAGAGATGAAGGAGAAAACTGTTCCAAAAGGATATGTGATTAGGTCTTTGTGTCATGACAGGAGTCCAGAGAGAAGGCTGCATAGTGGAGTGGACCTGGGGAGGGGAACATTGTTACATAACAATGGGGGAATTTTTCTTTTACTTTTCTGTGAGGGGAGTGTACTGGGGGGATGGGCAGGGAGAAAAGTGAAACAGTGAATGAATGTAAATCCAAAGTCTATAAATTTTCATTAAAATAAATAAAAAAAGACCAAAACAAAAATAAAAATTAGCGATCAGCAAGTGCTTTGCTCAGTCAATACTGGTGGATTGGAACCGACTCATAGCTGACTCTCAGGTTGCTGAAGCTTTAAATTGCATGGAAGGAGGTTGCCCATTTGTATCCCTAGGAGCCACTGGTGGATTAAAACCTCCAGAGAGCAGCGGCCTTTGGATTTAATCGTACAACTCCTTACCTACTATGCCACCAGAACCCCTTGTGTGCTTTTGCCAAAGATCAGTGAATGCATCAACTTTCTCTGCTAACACTGGGAATTGTGTGTGTGTCTTGCTCAATTGTCCATTAATGACCCCCAAAATTTAGTGTAAAAATAATCTGAACGAGCTAACGAGTGAAATATTTCACATATAATAACAATTGGAATAACAAAGTTGGCAAATAGGAAGTAGTAAATAGAGGCATAATAATGGATTAAAAATCAACCATATTGTAGTCTCCTAGGCTTTGCGCAGGAAAAGAGCATGAAGAAAGTTTTACCTAGGGTCTAAGGAGCTGAGCATTATGTATGTGTTACCAGTACGAAAGAAAAAGATAATAAAATGTTGGGAAGACTACACTTCATAGAAATCAGAATAGAAAGTATCAACTTGTGGGAAAGTGTGTTATGTGTGAAATTAGATTTCCTTTGAGGCAAAAGTGGACCATTCATGTGGCAGTGGGTGATGTATTTAAACCTTGGTTGCTGGTGATCAAGCATTAATAACCACTCTACTATCTTCTCTAGGGAACTCTGGTGGTCTAGCGGGTAAAGAGTTTCACTGCCAACCATAAAGCAGGCAGTTTGAATCCACCAACTACTCTGAGAGAGAAAGATGGACAATCTCCTCTCATGTGATTGATAAGCTTTGAAAATGCAGGGGAGGGCCAACTATGAGTCAGTTCCTACTGGATGACATACAACAACAACAACAATAACAACAACAACAACGACACTATTTTGTCTCTCTCTGATAACTGCATGATTTGAGGACTTTCTGGCCCTGAAAATTTTAACACTGGTGTGATTTCTTTTTTGTTGTTTTTGCTAATTATGCTAACCTCTCTATTTTTTCCTTTTGAATATTTGGACACTCGCTTTCCCAAATAAAATGTGAGCAGAGTACTTGCAATGGAGTGAGCCTGGGACCCCCAGGAGGTGGAGCTACAGAGAAGACACTAAAACGAGTGTCCTAGAAAGCTGTTCAGGTTAGTGAGGCCATCTGTAACTAACAGGAAAGCTAAGTGTGATGCTATTGGGCGGAAATACTCAATAATGCTTTCTTAAAGAAATGAATTACTGCAATTCCAGTAGCTTGGATGATGGCCATGTTTAAAATTTTGTTACTCTATCAAGAGTATGAAATATTACCAGGGAACATATTAACGTAGAAATCATTTCTCTTGAAAATTTAGATTAGACTGTAAAGCTCAATATAAAACTGTCTATGAACACTGCAGTAAAATACCTTTTAAAAAACTAGATGTTCGCCCCCTTCGTTTGGGGTCTCCTAAGTAGTCAGCTCTTTCACATGGATATAAAACTATCCAAGTGCTTTATAATGGCAAACCATTTCTTCTTCTTACTGAGGTCTGAACTATTGTATTGCACTATGCAGAGAATGCTGATTGCTTTGTGGTTGGAAAAGCAGGATGCAGAACCGTGAAACTATTGAATTGAAGTTCTCACTTGGAAAGTGACTCTCTCTGTGAAGTGGAGATGTTCTAAATCTTTCTAACAAATTATTATCCAAGAAAGAATGATGCTTTCTGTAATTCTTCATTCTAAAGCAGCCTTGTGAGGATTAATCAGAAGGAAGATGTCTTGGAGTTGAAATTTGTGACACATGAATTCAGCATATGTGGTTTATGGACAATTTCTGAATGCATTTCATGTGTGTGTTACTTTAATTGGCTTCTCAGTGAGTAAACTTCAACGTGAGGGGTAGGTTTCTGAACTTTTGAACTACCACATCGGATGTCACAATTAGTAGGCATTTCTACTACTGCTGTGGTGCACATGAGAAAAGGGCATCCAACCTTTTCATACAAGACTTGTTCTGAAATAATTTCTAGATTTTGTGTTTTGTTATTATGTATGATGAAATGATTACACTGCATACAGTTTATTGTTACTGGGTTAAACAGAAATATACAAATCTCACATGATTGGTGATTATTTTACAGATGCTAAAGCCCTGTCTGTGAAGTGGATGTTTCTTCTATTCCACAGAAGATACTTACAAAGTATTTAAAAGAACAGAAGGAAAGTTAGCTAAAATTCAACTCATTGCCTTTGAGCTAGAGTTGACTCATAGGTGACCTTCACTGGATTTTCAGAGACTGTAAATGACACAGGAGTAGATTGCCCATCTTTCTCCTGCAGAATAGCTGGTGGATTTAAACCATGTACCTCTCTGTTCTGGGTTGGCAGCACAATTCCTTACCATTAAACTGCCAGTGGCCTAGTGATAGGAGTTGTGCTCTTAACTTGAAGATAAGTGGTTCGAATCTACTAGCTGCTCTGCTGGAGAAAAATGGGCATTCTCATCCCACGTGATCTATTGCCTCTAAAAACTTGCTGGTGAGTAAGTAAGCTATGATTCAATTCCAACTTGATGGTAAACAACAACAACAACAACAACAACAAGCCACCAGAGCTCCCTGGCACAGGAACATTAATCAAAATGAACTATTCAAAAGAGCAAGCTGGAACTCAGTGTTTTTTTCATTAGGACAGTATGCTCTGCATTCTTGTTTGTTTCCTGATTTTTGAAGTTACCAAGTGTCAGTTTCATTCATTGCTTGGACATGTTATTATTAATTTAATAGAGAAACATTTGAAGATCTGCTTCTTTGAATGCAGCTATGTTATCTATTCCTTTAAATGCAGCTGCAAGTTAAACAAAACAAAATAGCCATAGTTGGCAACTTAATATTGACATGTGCCTAAATGAAGTTTCAGGTTTAAATAAGTAAATTCTTCAATAAATTTGTTTGCTTACCCCATACACAAGTTCTCCTACCATCCCATTCCAGATTTTTGTGTCTGCATCCCTTGCTCCGTACTTTCCATCAGGGACAATGGCAATTTTATACTTGATACCAATATGTTTTGCAATTTCAGATGCCAAATCTACACAGTATCCTTCATACTTGTCATTGCCTTCAAACATTTCATGATTCTTCTTATACATAACATATGGGGATTCCTATAACGAGAGAAGGAAAACTGTAAAGGAGAAATTATAAAACATGCAATTTGAATACCTTTTTTAATTTTTTTTTTTAGTTTTAGCATTTTACCAAAAGATTAGATTTGGCAATAATATACATACTGTTTTTGTGTGGCTATAATTTAATAGTAAAATATATGAAAATATAAATAGGTTTAGAAGTACATTAAGTTGCTTTGTCTTAGATACTAAGTGTGACATTATTAGAATAATTTTCTATTGAGGGATGAGATAGCCCTCTTTGGGACTGTGATAGGAAAAATGTCCATTAATAGTTGCCAAGAGAAGAATACGATGAAATTATTATTTCCAAAGTTGCTCATAAAATAAAGACAATTTAGTGGCTTCCCCTTGATATAATAAAAGACTCATTCAAGGTCACTTTCTTCATTGTGTTAAACACAATAGACTGGGACCTCCTTAGAAAAAGGTCTAGTTCGTTCTTCTTTGATCCCTATCAGTTCTTTGAGCAGGTAGTTGCTAGACAATTGTTCGATGAGTAAATGAATTAATTAATCCTTTAAATATCTTATGTAGTTATTTATTTGCATTCAATTTGGTTTCCCAGAACACTTTTACTATTTTGGTTTCAGATAGGCTTTGCACTCCATGACTTATAATTCTATTATAAAATGTATCCCCCGTGGAAATGAATAACTTTCCCTCAGTTATGACATATGCCCATTTAAGTGACATTCCCGCTTAGTCTTCTAGGCAATGGAGAGAAAGTCTGATGAACAATTACTGTGAATATTCTAGCAAAATGCACAGGTGCACTGGTGGTGAGTAATGATTAAAGAGTTTGCAGTTACAGTGGGAAACCCCCAACAACAAAAAAACCAGACAACAAAGAAAAAAAGTCACTTGATTTTAGAAATGAAAACTTGAGCTGCTGGTCACAAGACAGGCTTGGTCAATACATAAGACGCAGGTTCCGGGGCACAGATGAGTTTTCTCAGTCATTTACTGGTCAAATATGATCCCCTCTCGTCATTGAGGACAATGGTTTGTATTAATCTCTCCTAAGCATCTTTTCTTTTCTCCAAGCACATTCTTAAATGGGACAGTTGACCTTCCTTTTGGAATCAGAATTAGAAAATAATCTAGTTTATACAACCTGGCAATTTTTCTTCATTCTGATTTTAAGTACTTTATAAATATAGAAACTACTAAAACTTGGTAAGAGCAGTAAATGATAAGTAGTTTTCTCATAATGATGCCCTTCAAGAGTAACTACAGTGGGAAATTATTATCTAGGATTAGTCTTTATATTATCTTCTTAAATCTTGTCTTAGGTTGAAATGGCCAAGTGAAGTTCCCCATTTATTGAGTGTGATAAATATCCCAACATTGGATTTTATGAAACAAAGTATCTCAACCTATAAAATGAAAGCAATTGACCACATCTCCTGTAAAAGATGATTTGTGTATTAGTTTACCTACATATTATGCAAATATATAGGGTTTTACTAATTACAGATGTGATCATAGAAACTGGTATTTCCAAAGCAATGCTACATTTAAAATAATTCTTTAATTTTTCTCTTTAAAAAAACTAAACTTTCTTTTAAAAATAGACTAATTAAATTGTGGAAAAGGAAAAAGTCAAGTTAAGTTTAAGTCATGTCATTGTTGTAGAGTCACAACTGGCTCATAGTTAACCCTCCAGAGGGTTTTCAGAGGCTGTAAATCTCACAGGAGGTTGGATATTTTCCTCCTGTGGAGTAGCTGGTAGATTGAAACCCTGTCTTTGGGTTGGAAGCACAAATCTTTACCCATAAGTCCATTAGAGCTCTCACTGAACAAAGCAAGGGACATATATTTGTAAAATGCTTAACATTCTAATGGAAATGACAATACAGTTATTATCCAGAATTATTAGCATAACAAACTTGAATTTTGTTTTCTTTTAAGTGATATCACTAAGGATCCCATTTCATACTAAAGTTGAAGGTCCATTTAAAAATATCTAGAATAGTTGATTATTTGGGCATTTTAGTCTTTTAAGTATATGTTCATATACATATATATGTTATCGATTAGCTGTGTGTTGAAGTTCTTTAAACTGGCATAAGCATTTAACTTGATAAATTCTCTCTATGCTAAATAGTGAGTTATTTGCTTCCATTAACATGTTATATCCTTTCTTTAATGTAAACAAAAACGCAAGCTTACTGGTGCTGTCATTTCCAATTCATAGCTACCCTTCACTGGGTGTCTGAGTCTGTAAATCTCAATGAATGGAGATTGCTTTCATGCTATTTTTCTCCCATGGAGCTACTGCTAGATTTCAAACCCCCAGAGATGTGGAGACTTGAGATTAGCAGTGCAACATTCTCCAGGTGAAGCCATTGCTGTGACCTCTATTTACTAACACACATTTAGGAAGCACCCACTGTGTGCCAGGCACTTTACTAGGAGCTGAAGTAATAAAAAGAAATAGAATATATCCCTTGTTGTTTTGATGAAAATCATTGTGAAATATTTAGAAAACTAGTAACAGGTGAGAGGAGAGGAGGATGAGAATAAAATATATTATTGAAATAAAGTTCTGTTTTTATTCAGTGCTTACTTGTTCTCAAGTTCTTCACCTGTACCCTTTAGTTTACTTCTTACAATGACAGCTTGAGATATGCACTCCATAGTTTTCACATGAAAACATTAGAGCTCAGAAAGGTTAAGAATATTATTGAATTTCATTGGGTTAGTAAGTGGAACTGCTGGGATTTGAACATATATTTTGAAATATTTTTAAATATTATTGCATCCTTTCACATAACAACAACTATTTGGGATTTCTTTTGATTTAACAGAGAGGTTCTAAGTTTGAAAAAATACATTTCTGTTTTTTTCCTGAGTGCATTTCTTGATAAAAAAAAATCTTGCATGAATGATGTAGATAAAACTTTCTGTTTTTACTTAGTGTCTGGTACACAGGAAACATTCAATAAATAGATTTCCTGGCCTATCTGTGTGTCCACATAGGGAAAATGACAATGTGATTATCTCAATATATTCTGTTATGATTTTTTAAAAGGAATATTAATACCAACGAGGGCTAGGCCACATTTTTTCTGAAACTGTAATATGTAGATGCATAACAGTAACAATGGGCTTCATCATGATGGAGATCTTGGAGCTGGGACAGAACAGGGTGAGGTTTCTATCTGTTGTTCATTATTGGGTTACTATGAGTTGCAAATGACAAAAACAAACACCAATACATGATTAAAAAAACCAACATGCTGTCTCTTTTATTAAAAAAAATAAAATCCATTTTTTTCTAGATATCTGGAATTACATCAGATTTCTTCCTTCTGCCTCAATTTCCAAACCCTGCCAAAAAAGGTGCTTGAAAAACATTCAGCTGACTGAAAATGTTAACAGATACAGAATCCAGCCAGAGTTTTGTACAATCAGGAGCATAATCATTAAGATTTAGGTTGCATGATGCATATACCTTGTGGTGTATACAGCTTACAGAAACATGATGATCATCCTCAGGGAGGTGGGAAGAGGGACGGAAAGGCAGGCAAGACTTAATATGAACAAGGACTTTCACAGTTGCTCAACTGTATCCTGTTCCTTGGCATCTGGGTCATTTTTCCGTTCTTTTACGTCAAATCCAAATAGGTAGCATATTCTTGATTATTCAGCCTCCTCCCCTGGCCTCATCTCTACTCTGATATTTTATCTAAAATTAGCTCTTTAAATGCTACATATATTTGGCAGATTGAATGCAAAGTCTGGGGCGACCATGGAGGAATAAAAGTTTTAGTCTTTTCAAGGTAACAGCCATTCAGGGAGATTGAAGAGCTTCTTAATAAAGCATACTTTTAGGAGTCCTAAGTGATCAACTTTGAACAAAAATAGAAGGCTCAGAGGGGTAGAATAGAATAGCTTCTCACTTTGCCATAAGAGAACAGCTTCCACCTTTATTACCTACTACTGTGCCCTGGGGCATCATCCATAATGAGTTGTGCTGCTACCACACAGATTGAGTCTCCGGTGGTTCAAATCACCAGCAACCCCACAGGAGAACGACAGAGCAATCTCCTCCACTGGAGGGTCAGGTAGGAAGGAGTTGGTTTTGACATGACGGCAATGACTTGATTTGACCTTGTGCTCTTGATATGACTTTTTTCTCTTTTCAACATATTCTTCCACAAATTAGCTAGACTATTTTTTTAAAAATGAGATTTTGCATTTTTTATTAAAGACTATGAAAGGATTTGTGAACAATACCTGTAATATTGTGTAGCATACCTTAGAAACTAACACTGCTTTGCAATAACTCACTAGTTTTCATGATCATATTTATAATTTACAGGGCTTTTCATATTTGCATAGTGTTTAGTCTCATATACTTTGGGCATGTTGCTATGAGGGGACTATTCCTTGGAGAAGGACATCATGCTTGGGAAGTTGGAGGGTTAGCAAAAGAGAAGAAGACTTTCAACTAGATGGATTGACACAATGACTTCTGGAGTGGGTACAAGTATGTCAGAGACGATGAGGACGGCACAGGATAGAATAAGGTTCAGATCTGTTGTTCATAGGGTTTCTATTGGTTGTGCTCGACTTGATGGCACCTAACAACAAAAAACAACAACATAAAGTTTAGGCAAACTACTATAAGAATTTCATCTTTGGTCAGTTGCCGTCATTTTACTGGTAGAGATGGCAATTAGTGAGCAAATGGTCTATAGTACAATAAAGTTATTTTTAAATTCATTACTCAGTGATTATGGTTATTTTTTGCTGGAACATGTTAAAAAATGGAAGATCTCTATGTGTGCTCTGCTATTTAAGATTTAGGGTTTAGCTTTCTTATTAAAGTATTTGTTTAAATGAATGTAAATTATTTTTGGTCAATAAAGGATGCATTTTCCACGAAAAGAAAATTATTTGGGATCATGTATATAGTTAGCAAAAATGAAATGGCTGGAAAGAAGATACTAGAAATGCTTAAAAAATTCTAATTATCACAAAAATTATTGTTAGAATATTTATGGAGAACAGATAAAAGTTCTGTAGCATCTATCAAAGTTATTTCTCTGTAGATATATACCCTTCTTCAAAAGGATGTACAAGATGTAAATGTAAATTCTCATGCATATAAATAATTTATTCCATCAAAGAAATTTTTTAAAATAGAAAGTAAAAGGTCTGTATTCAATTCAGAAAATGAAGTATAATACTAGAAACATATTAAATTTATTAAAAAGAATTTATTTTTAAAAATGGAGTTATAAGTTCTTAGGTGTGTGTAAATTGATATTAACACTGGGTTCAAAGGAATTATATCTGTATTTTATATATGTATGAGTTTGTGTGTATTCACATATACTCATAGGTGTAAATAGAAGAATTGTGGTGGTGCAATTTCCAGTGCTTGGGTGCTAACTGAAAGATCAGGCAAGTGGTTCAAATCTACTAGGTGCTTTGTCAGCCAAAAATCTGATGATCTGCTACAGTGGAGGACAAAGCTTAGACTACATGCTAGTTCTTGTTACTCTACTGTATCAGGTCTCTATGAGATAGAGTTGACTCAATAGCATATAGCAACCATAATATAAAAATATACACATGATATATTTTTATATACACATATAAAATAGCTATAACATTTTTTGTAGAGAAAATAAATGATAAGCAACTCACAAAAAACTAACCTCTGAAAAGAAAAAATGTAAAAAATGAAATTGTAGGTTTATGAGAAAATTTGGAAGTTGTAGTGAATAAATATAGTTTTATGTACTTATTTTAAAAGTTCTGTTCATAAAGATGGCAAGACATGGATTCTTAGTATCCAACATGCCACACCCAACACTCTGGGGACAAATGAAGGAGAGATATCACCTGATTATAATCCGCTTTTCTTTGCAGATTAATGGTTACACAGAGAAAACAGGCCAATTAAAGAGGAATTTAATATTTCTAAATGGCTGAATTTATCTAAATCACATGGTATAGATTTGACTTCCCTAGGCTGTTTGCAGAAACTGTTCTTTTGAATTTGACAAGTGAAATCAAAAGGTCACAGTCACATGAACTTCACAAAAATTTTTCATCACTATGATTGAACAATTAAAAAAATAATAAGGATCTGAATGACAAAGTTTAGCTCTTTCAACTTTGTTTCAACCATGTTTCCCATGTGATGATATGATTTTTATTCAGTTTTAGCTGAGTTGTATTTATAATTCACACTCACTCACTGGTTGCTGTTGAGTCAGAATTGACCCATATCTGACCGTTGAATGGGTTTTTCCCATGGGAGGAGATTGCCCATCTTTCTCTCATGGAACAATTGGTGGATCTGAACTTGCAGAGAGAGCCTTTGATTAACAGCACTACCCCCTACGGACTATACCACTAGAACTCCCTTTCATATATTCAGCCTGACTATATTCAAATGGAATAGATTGATCAAGATGAAGATAAAATAATAGGTATAAAAATACTATGTTAAAAGAAAAAGTAAATTTTAACAGCATAAGAGGTTGAAGCCATATTTTATTTGTTAGGATAAATAAATTTTAGAAGACTAAATTATTGTACAAAACAAGCTCTAGCGAATGTAAGAATTTTGTCTATGCCTCACATATAGCAGACGCTCAAGAAATATTTATGAATGAATAAATAAATTTCTCAGTCAATTTTATTTAACAATAGCATTTATCATTACAGTGTATTAACATATAAATATCAACATACACAGAGGCAAAAACACATGGGAGAAAAGCAACGCCATATTAATTTCTATCCAGATGAATGTTCCCAGTGCTGTAACACTCTCAGCCCTCTCTGGTGTCAAGAGATCTAATCTATCTCGCACATGCTACAATGTCTAGACAACCCCACTTGGGAGTTTTTCAATGAATTTAGGGGATTATCACATGCAGGTGCCAATAGTGCATTCATCTACAAGGAATCACAGATCTTTCAATACAAACGAGCTGGTGGGAATATCACAGGTCCCTGGCTACCATTTTCAACAAAAGCAGATACAGGGATGATTTTTAGGGAATGGATTCTGAAATGCCTTTTTGAATTCTTGAATAGTTATACAGTTGTAAACACTAGAGATAATATTTCTGCACAAATGACATTTTATACAGAAAGACAGATAACTAGCATTGCACTATTTTAATAGCAAAAATATTGATGGCATCACTGTCAAACAATAGATACTTAACAGAATATTCTTTAGGTATATAAGAAACAGTTGGCTTTGTCAATCACTTTTGCTTTTATTTTTGATAGCATGCTTCATGAAAATTAGTCATGCTTGAAAAATGAATTCAGTATTTTGCCTTTTAGAATATTTTCTCCCTTTCATAACAGGGATAGAAGTTAGATTTTCTATATAATACCTATGTTGTACATTAAAATACCATTTCACACACAACAGACACAATTAAAAAAATTCTCTAAAAGCTGTAGTATATGTTTAGAAAACAAGTACACACATTCATAGATATTTACTTTAAAAAGCAAACAAGCTATGCTTGGAACTAGGAGTTGTATAATTTCATCACTTATGTACAAAGACCTCATTTCAAGATATGGGGCTGATAAATCAGAATTACGAAATGCTTATTTTTCCACATCTATGCATTTTCTTGAGGAAACTGAGAATGAATTCTTCTTTTGCTCTGGTATCTCAGAAAAGTCACAGGCATTTTTTTTTAAAAAAAATATTTTTTCTGGTAGTCCAGAGTTGGTCATCCAAGTAGAATCCCGCATGAAAATTGAGCTTAAATTGACTACATTGGAGCACAAGACTTGAGCCTTGTTTAGGAATGGTCGAACAGCATGGAACTCTTTTCCTTCTTGGTCAATTTCTTAAAATAGGATTCTTCATCAGAGGCTGAAAAGAGGAGGACTGTACTGAAGTATGACTTTCCATTACTGTGTCTTTTTTAGGAAAAGAAATATGTATATATTGCTTTTCAAGTCCCATGCAAGTATCACACAGTGAAGTTAGAAGATACATATATCATACTCTTACACACAAACTGCTGTTGGTTGGCTTGCATTCTAAAATCAGAATTGTCCAATCAAAGCTTGGCAGAATACATTGAACTGCTAATGGATGATGCAACACAGACAAAATTAAATGTAACATATGAAAGCTTTTCTCTGGCATTTCCATGCTTTGACCTCAATATCAGTTTTGGGAATCACCTGAAGTTCTTGCCAAAAGAAAATGAAGATGATGAAGGCTAAAAGCTACATCACATAAAGTGCTTCCATTTTGTTTAGGGTAAGTGCTTCCATAAATAACTGAAAATATGTCCTGACTAATGAGACAGTGAGCTGGAGTATATCACTTTAAATTACATGGAAAAGGTCACCGATTGTTGATCTCTTTTGACTAGATTTGAGTTTAAAGGGTATGCTTGACTTTAGAGAGAAAAATACAAAAAATACTCCATTATTTAAAAGTTAATTTCATGAAAGCTTGTTGTTGTTGTTTTTTTTTTAGAAACCAGTCTCAAAATTTAGAGTAGTTTTCATTTTATGATGTGACTGACTGAATGAATCACATTTTCTTAGTTCCCAGAAGTCCAATTAACAACATTGCATATTGCATTTATGGCCAATGAGAAAAAGAATCGGTGTAAAAATCCATTCACATTAAACAAAGATGTATTTTCTAAGGTATTTACGTATATAAAACATGTTCATAGAAACCTTCACATTCATATCTCCATTGTTATAAACAGACAGTGGAAATTACTACCTGATGATTAAGCTACCCGAAAATTTATAATTTAAGTATTATTCAACAAATTTAAAACACTGATACTCTGAGTAACATAGTTACTGTAATAATATGCCATTTGCTGCTAAGTATTTTTCATGATTGGTTATTACCAATTTTCATGTATATTTTGGAGGTCTTTTCATTTCATATATTTTGCAACTAGAGTGACTCTCTAAAGAGTGACAATCTCAGTCTCTAACATCCGAGCATTTATTTCAAAGAACAAAAATGTAACAAAAGGTAACACAAATAAAAGTACTGGATGTAAGCTCAGGACACACTTATTCAAGCCTTGACAGACTTATTATGAACAAGAACACCCACAATATGACTGCTGAGATGGACCTTTAACCTCCCCTGGTCATCAGGGCTGGGGAGTTAGAAGTATCTTTGGACAAAACGGAAAAGCGTAAAGCATAGACCGAAACTTACCATGATTGTGGTTACAACTACTGTTCTGTTTTCAATAGCTGCTGTGTCATTTCCAAGAGTGGGTACATCTTGAATCAAGACCAGTTTATCCATATCATTCCAGTAACCAACCTGCAAAATAGACAAAATACCTGAAGACATGTTTTAGACGAGTTCTCCCTAGTTTTGCTTAGAACAAGGAGAGGTATAATAAATGAGCAAGTGCACACACACACACACACACACACACACACACACATTCTTCGCTTTTAACAACCAGAAACAAAAGCAGCAACAAAAGTGATTGGATGTTTTCTTAGTTGATTCACTAGCTAACTTTAAAATCACAGAGTAGTCAGGGTAGTGGAGATGAATGTATCCAAAAGGACCATGAATATGGATGGATAATCACTTTGTATTGATTGTTTCCCTAATGAGATGAGTGAGCAGCCCTTAGCAAGGAATTTATTTCACTTTATCAATAACTTTACAAATTGTATGGTACAGCAAACAGATTTGTAAAGAGGATATTGTTGTCGTTATTATGTGCCATCGAGTCGCTTACGACTCATAGCGACCCTGTGTACAAGAGCTCTAAACACCGTTCTATCCTGTGCCAACCTAGCCATTCCAAATGCACTTCCCACCACTCCAGTCACAGAATCGATCCATCTCACCAAAGGTCTTCCTCTCCTTCGCCGCCCCTCCACTCTGCCAAACATGATGTCCCTCTCCAAAGAACAGTCCCTCCTTGCAACATGCCCAAAGTATGTCAGACGAAGCTTCAGAATCCTTCACTCCAAGGAGCATTCCGGCTTCACCTTCTCCAACCTGTTTGTTCTCCTAGCAGTCCATGGTATATTCAACACTCTTCTCTAGCATCACAGTTCAAAGGCATCAATTCTCTTTCTATTATCTCTATTCTCTGTCCAACTCTCTGATGGCTAGCACGTAATTGCTAAGACTATAGCCTGGATCAGGCACACCTTAGTCTCCAGCCTGACGTCGTTGCTCTTCAGTACTCTTGAGAGGTCCCTCACAGCTGACTTGCCCAATGCAATTCTTCTCTTGATTTCCTGGCTGCTGTTACCAAGAGTATTGATTGTGGACCCAAGTAAACTAAAACTGTTAACTATCTTAATCTCTTCACCATCCATAGATATACAGGGTATTTTAAAGCATACAAAAATAATTTATGTGTTTTGAAAGAAATATAGAAACGGTTTTGCTATGACAAAACCTAGACAGCTGGAAATGAAACCATACAATTTCTGAGATCAGATGAATATTAAGAGATGGTATTTTTCACTTTTAAGGATTACATTTAAATTTGTGCTTTTGTACTTTTCCATTACTTTAATGTTTTATCATTTAGAAATGAAGCAAGCTCTTGGCCAAAAATTCATCTAGTGGTAAGAAGCTGTATTGCAAACCCAAAGGCATGTGTTTCAAATCCACCAGCTGCTCCATGGGAGAAGTATGGGCGGTCTGCTCCTGTGTGACTTACTGCCTCTGAAAACTCACTGGAAAGTCAGCTATGAGTCAGTTCTGACTCAAAGCACAGAAAAAATAAGAACAACAGTTGGTAAAGTATTTTAAAGATAGCATGCTCCAGTTGGCTTCTTACTGGACAGGTTAGTTGCTTTTTATTTCTGCATTATGTAGACCATTTGGTAGGCATGGACAGCTACCATGTATTAGTACTTTCTGGAAACCAGCCTTACCCTTCTTCAAACAATTAATACACAAAACAAACAAAGACGTATCCACAGTTTAGAGATGATAACTATTTTAGAAATTTAAGGACATCACACAAGGTTATACTTTCATGGGGCCAGAATTCAAAACTCTTCTGAATGAGTCCAAATTTATATATTTTGCTATTATATGGTGATTTTTTTTTTCAAAAGAAGGTTAATTTAATGCTTTCTAAACACCTTTGGTAAATTTCTTGATGCCATTGATAAAATGTATTTCTCCAAATATATATATATGTATATATGTATTTGTATATGTGTATACACACATACACCCACACACACACACACACACACACACACACACACATATTTTATTTTATCGTGGCATCCTTGATGACATCAGGGTTGAACATTCAGCTATTAATCAAAAGGCTGACTGTTTGAACCCATAAGGTGTTCCACAGAAGAACTAATAATATTGTCCCATAAAGTTTTTAGCCTGGATAACCTCATGGAGAATTTCTGCTTTCTTTTTGGGTCACAATCAGTGAAATTAATGAGACAGCACAAAATAAAGTTTGCTCCCTGAACTGAATTCCTTCCTATATACTTGGTAGTCTCTCTTGCCTACTGCATATTTCATAAGTGTCATGAGCATATTGAATAAAGCAAGCATCAACATGTCAGAATAAGCACTTTCTGAAAACATTCACAAATACTGTATGTCTAATACAATACCAGAATAGGTGGGGTAAAATAATTTTCAACAATGTGGCATGCTACACTTCTTGGCTTAATCAGGACTATGCGTATATATCAATTTGTTGATTTTTATTTGTCCATGTGAATCTACTTAGAGATGATATTTACTGGATAATTCTGTGAAAAATATAACTTAAAAATAAGTTTACCTTTGGGACCTTGCCTCTGCTCAAATTCTTCTAAAACTTGAAGTAATCATATTAAAAACTACTTCTTTTTCCACTTGACAGTTATTTGACATCAAAATGGGTTTCACAATTTAACACTCCATTGTGACGTAGCTACTCTGTAGATTTTAGCTTTCAACTCTCTAGGAAGGACATTTTTACTTATTTATTAAGTTTCCACAACAGAAAAAGTAAAGACCAGAGACACATTCTGAATTTCTCAAAGTTTGAGACGACGTTATTTAGCATTTAAAAACGAAGTTGTGGGTTTATATGTATCCTCCATAAAAGATAAATGATCCAGAAATGCAGGAAAATTAAAATTATAAGTAAAATTTTAGCCAACACTGTATAATTGTCTAATATCAACATTCAGTACTGGAGAGAAAAGAAATCCACACTCTGCAGTGTGATACTGTTTAATGGGAGGTTTCATGGAGGTCATGGGCTTCCAGGGAAGTAACACCAATTAGGGGTTCACTCTTTAAGAAACGAATTTTAAAATTAGACCATGAAACCTCCTGTGAGATAAAGATCCTTGTCCTAGTTATTCACACCATTTTCTAATTAAATACAAACTTTTGCCATGTCTGATCTCATTTAGTCAGATTTTCTCCACATATAGACACACTTAAATGACTAAATTGATAGGAAAACAAAGGCAAAAAAAATCCCCCCCCAAAACTAAACAAAAAACTATTTACTTTGATCCTCTGAAGGCAGATTATGTGTAAATATACCCATAATAAAGTATGTGAGCTGACATCTCTGTATGTGCTCCCAACGGGACTGGTCATATTGGGCATGAACAGGCATCGAGGGGCCACAAAATCTGTGTTCTACTTAAAGTTGGTCCCACGGAGTGCTGCTGTGTCTACCTGTCCTGCAGAATTTAACTTAATTCCCACAGCTCTGAGCCCTGGGATTGAGTATGTTTCTCTCCAAGAAAAAGAGACTACACAGCTGGAGCTACATAGACATTCTCTTCCATCCCAGAACCGTATCTTTCTAACTGAACATCTCTGGCCAAATCACTTATGAACTTGAATTTTCTATTAAAAAAAACAAAACAAACCACCCAACAATCCATAGGTATCTTATATGCCAATGCTTGCGAGTACTGAGTGTTAAAGGCTCAGGAGTTTTCTATTACAAAGTCTAACATGTTTTTTGTTGTTAGATGCCATCGACTTGACTATGATAATAGTGTCTAACACAACTGCCATTTTTGCCATGGTGAAATCTGGAAGCCAACCAAGTATGGAGCTTGAGTGTTCCCTCTTGATTTCAGGGGGTCAACAGAATGACAAGCCTAGGATCAGGCGAGTCAGATAGAGCTTTTAGTGTCTGCTTAATGAGACTTTCAGTCAGCTTTCCTTTTCCACAAGTCAGACCAACTGATGGGCTGAATCTTTGTTCTGTTTGCAGAGATTGCTCCCTTGCTCGCACGTTTTCAATTTGCAAGAGCGAGTGCCTGCTTCACAGACATATCACCTAGTCTCACCAGCACAGTGTTGCTCTTGGTAGCTCATTTTTAAGTTTAATATTCCAGACAGAATGCCCACGTTGATTGTTGCAAAGGAAAAATGAAGATAGATAAGTCTACAACATTTTACAGCGCATATTTCTTTTAAGAGTTTTGGGTGGATGTCAGCTGAGTGTAAAGATGTACAATTTATCACTTGTCTTTCTTACTCTTTAACTTACTCCTAAAAAAAAGGAGTTAATTTTTGCTACAATCATAGTTCAGCAGGCCATGAAATATTGCTGTGCTATGCATAGCCCATTTGCTATTACTGTTAGTTAACATCAGTTTCCTTTTTCCTTATACTTTCTTTTGTAGGAAAACATTTTTTTCTTTCTGTATTGTTTTGTACAATGTAAAATTGTCTTTCATTTTATAAAGAATTTTTAAAAATTAGTTAATATTGTAAAGGGTGTTCTGGTGGCCTAGTGGGTAAGGAGTTACACTACCAACCCAAAGGTAAGCAGTTTGAATCCACTAGCTGTTCTGTGGGAGAAAGAAAGGCAATTTACTCCTGTAAATTTGTGAGTTTAGAATCTCTAAAAACCTGCTGAAGGGTCAGTCTGATTTGACAGCAATGAACAACAATGTACAATATTGCAAGGCCTGGAAGGTGGGATTGCTTTACCTTTTCCCACAAAGTAGTCATAGTTTTCAGGCTTTTGTGATATTCGATTTGCTCCATAATGAATGAAAAGAATGCTCTATAAAATCGCTTGCGGCTGACTCTGTGTGCTGAGAAAAGCTGATGTTTCCATAGAACTCCCTGGATTTCTTCTTAAATGACAGTCTTTAGGAGTGTGTCTCCTCTTGTTGGGGACAGCTACCTTTGAGGCACCGCTGGGCTTCCCAGCTGGCATCTGTCTCTTAGGCTACCGATCTGATTATGCACACTTCAACCTAATGGGTGTTATCCAGGTGGCCTAGTGGTATGGGGTTGGGCTGCTAACTCAAAGGTAGACAGTTGGAATTTACCAG